GATATAACTAGTAAAAAGATAACAAGTGAAAAATTGATTGAAGCTAGAATTGACTGTATCAAAGAAGAAAAAGTAATATTAAATTAAATTATTAATAAAGTTATTAACGTATATTTAGGATCTTTATCTCTATTTCTTTGTAACAAGGTACCCTGGCCGTACGCTAGTATTCTTAAACAGCATTGATAGTATCCGAAGAATAGTACCGATCTTAAAAAATTTAAATGTAAACGCCTACCCATTACATGCACAGATGCCACAAAGGCAAAGATTGAAAAATGTCGATCGATTTAAAAATGAAGAAAATGTAGTATTAATTTGTTCTGATGTAGCTGCTCGAGGGTTAGATATTCCTAATGTAGAATATATTGTACATTATCAAATACCAAGAAGCGGAGAAATATATATTCATCGATCTGGTCGTACTGCTCGTGCTAAACGTCAAGGTATGTCGTTGATGCTTTGTTGTCCAGAGGAGCTTAAAGCTTATCGTAATATCTGCAAAGCTTTGAAAAGAGCTAATATTCAAGAGTTTCCAGTGGATTCACTGTTAGCTTCAAAACTAAAAGCTAGACTCGCGCTTGCTAAGCAGGTCGACCAGTTACAACATGGTTTAGATAAGGTAAGTGAAGATTTTGATTATTTTCTAAGAGGTGCTGATTATATTTTAGGATAAAGCAGATAAATCCTGGCTTAAAAAATCAGCGGATCTATTGGAAATTGAATTGGATTCAGATAAGTAATAGATGTTTAAATTATAATTAGATTTTGTTTATTGATATTCTTTTAGCCTTAGCTCAGATGAAGATGTTAGTAAGATAAAAAATAAAAAGAAACAAGGTCAATTAGAAAAATTGAAATATCAATTGAAAGAATTACTTAAAGAACCTATCCTTGGTTTAGGCTACTCCTCAAAATACTTATCTTCCAATGGTAATGAGTTGGTTAATACTTTGAATAATAATTTGAATGGTAAACTTTTTTTGTTATTTTTTGTTACCAAAGAAATATTAATATTGGTTTTAGATGATAGCCTTGTATTCAAAGGACATAAAAAGACATCTGCTTTAAACTTGTTTAAGTAAGATTAAATTGTTAGAATAGTTGAAATAAAATTATAGAGATTTTTAATTATAAATTAGCTATTATTGTTTTGGTATCTTCAATGATTTTGGTCCATAAATATATTATATAGATAACTTATTTAGATTATAGACAGAGCTATATATAAAACACACATACAAACTATTTTTAAATGTATATACTACTTTTAAACAACACCATTGAACAGTTGCAATGTTGGTTTAGTGGTAAAATTGCCGCCTGCCACGCGGCAGCCCCGGGTTCGATTCCCGGACATTGCATTTTTTTTTTGTTATTCTAAATAAAAATATATGGAGTGTTTTTTTTGACTTCATTATCTTTTTCATCTTTTAAAAAAAGATATACTAATGATAAGGAATATATATTCGAACGTGGGAAACTAGTTAAAATAATTCGTTTATTTAAAATCAATTTCTATAGCTTGATAGTATTACAGTTTTTAAAACTATCTACTCTAATTTATATCTATAAACATAAACTCATATAGTATATTTTGTTCCAAAGGGCTTTTTAATACTATCTTATATTAAAAAGCTTCACTATTAGAATGAAAAATTATGTTCTATTCTTATTCTATTTCTTTATTTTAATTTTTTGATGATTATTTTTCTGAGCTACATCGATATAGTTTAATAAATATATATAGCAATTTAAATGTTCTAGTTAATTTTTGAGCTGTACAATAAGAATTATATAATTAATCTTTCTAAACAACTGAATCCTTTATAGCTATAAGTATATTAAGAAATAAAATCGAAACGTTTAAATAATCAAACACTCAATCCTATAATCTCTAATTTTAGTTTTAATTTTAATTCATAGTTTAAAACCCTATCCTATCAAATTAAACAAAATATGTTATCTTTCCAATTTTAAACTCTAGCTTGATTTATATACTTAAAAACGCATTTATGTTGATTTACTTTCTGAAACCGATTTAGATACAGCGCTAAGATTTTGACGTATACGCCATCCCTTAAGTTTCGATTTTACTTTATCCATAGCTAATTTAGTTTGGGATCCACCAAAGTCTTCCATATTTGGGGGTTCTGGGTATTGGAATTCGTTTTCTAAAGTAACGATTGCCTTTTTAGTTGAGGCATTTCTAGTACGACGACGAGTAGCTCTATTTCTAGTCATCGTACCTTGGTAGATCATAGTTCTTACATCTACAGCTTTAACTTGATATAAGTTATATAAATAATCACGGATATCTAATTTGCTCGTTTTCAGTGGTACACGGAAAGCTACTTGATTTGGTGGTAAACTGGTACGTACCATTGTAAATACTAAGTTGGGGAAATACACTAATTTTTTGCCAATAGTCATTTTTTGATATTATTCTATGTAAAAAATAAAATTTATTGATTTCTAAAAGTTTATGATAAGTCAAAGGCGATTCCTAAAAATCCCATAACCTAGCTAAATCCTTGATCCTCATCCAATGAATACGTTTAAGGCTAAAATTATGACGCAGATTTTTCAGTTAATTTATAAATTTTAAATGGATAAAGGGCAGGATTCAAAACCAGTAGTTAAAAGCGTGGACATGTCAGAAGACATGCAAGAAGAAGTCTTTTTTTTCGCTGCTGAAGCATTAGAAAAAAACAATGTAGAAAGAGATGTGGCCACTTATATTAAACGCCACTTTGACCAAAAATATGGACCTCACTGGCATTGCATAGTTGGCCGTTCATTTGGCTCCTCAGTTACCCATGGTAGGTTGAGATTTTATTTCAGATGTTGGTTATTAATTACTTTGTTTAGAAACTAAATGCTTTATCTATTTTTATATCGGATTGACCGCGATTTTGTTATATCGTACATGTTAAGTTTTATTTATGAGCATTGAGAATGGAAAACTATTTTATATCGAACTATGGTTACGATTTTGTTTTATTCAATTCACCTTTCTTGAATGAAATTATTTTTGTTTATAAATTTAAGCGTTTTAATATATGCTCTCACTAGCTTTAATTCTCAATATTTAGATAAAACCAACAAATTTATTACTGTATAATTTTTAAATTAGAATTTTATAAAATATAATTTATGCTTATCTTAAAAATCCTTTTAACTTTTGATTACAGTATATATCCAACTTTACCATTATTTAAAAGATTATTTATAATTTATTAACATATCTCTAATAATAGGATAGGAAACTTTTCTAGAAGCTGAAATATTCTTCTGTTCATAGCCTATGAAGTTCGTTTCAATGAACTTAGTATTCTTAATATAGTCTAAATTTTTTAAATTTAAGATGGCACACTTTTCTAATTGATTTTGAATATATTTTAAAAGGCATCTATCTTTGGTGTAGATAACCATCTCTCTTCTAAATAAATCGTCCTTATCTGGACTAGAATATTCTTTTGATAAAAGAACTATTAAAATAGTCAAATCCGATCCTTCTGAAAACTCTTGACAAGATGATAGTAGATTTGAGTACTCCCCCTGTTCTGACTCTTTCTTATCTCTGATCCTCCAATCTTTTAAATCAAAATTGATGATCGATGAAATACCCAAACTAATCCCTTTCTTCACTTCCCAGGTTTTAAAATCTCTTCTCAACAACTGTACCGTATTCATACTTCCAACCTCCTTCTTAGCCTGGTTTAACTGCTTAAAATAATCATCAAAAGTAAACTCACCTGAGCTCTCATTTTTAATAATATCACCAAGCTCATTGGCAACATTCCGATCTTTGTCTGTAACCCTACCATATTCGCCCTTTAAATTAACAGTATCGACCAAAATAGGACCAAGTAAAAGCTTGGCAAAACTTGGTAAACTAAGCAAGTTTTCTTCAGTTTCACCTTGTTTAATTAGCTTTTTAATCTGCTCCATGATAAGTGTGGTATTGGATCCAACAGGTTCAACTATACGTATATCTGCGTCTAAGTGTTTTTTTTCATCCTGATGGTGATCAAAGATTTGAGATACTGTAGCTGGCCAGCTTGAAAAGTGAGGGTTTAAAATGTTGTGGTCTACTAGGGTGAAGTCAAGCTTTATATTTTCTTTTACTACATTGCTATTTTTCAATAATTGAATCAGTTGAGATACAGGCTCATCGTTTATAAATAGGATATCATCAAAGGTGAGATTACAGTAATCAAACAAGAATAAGGCTTCAGGTCGGAGCTGGATATCTTGACGTGGAATGTTAATGATTGGGATGGATAAAGTGGATGGGATGACCGGATCGTTAAATAGAGTTTTGGGCGTATTTAAAGCGAGGCCTAAGGCTATAGAGGATACGATTGAGTCAAGATCTAGGGTGACATTAGTGATTTTATAATAAAGATATAACAGCTTTAATTACCTGCAGCCTCGTTTCCTATAATGAGTCTTAGTTTATGCTTACTCAAAATATTCTTCGGATTTGTTTTTAGGTTGTTTATATAATTTATAAAGTGATTCTTTATTGACTTCAACTGTTTATACATGATGCCTTGGTACTAATTACAAATGTAAAATGTTGCTTTTTGTTACAATTAAAAAAATAAAGTAAATTTAAAAAATTGAATTTCGAAAATTAAATTTAAGGAGCTCTTTTAATAAACTTAGCCAGTCTAAATACACCATGAATTTGCCTTTTTTATAGCGCTGACCAAGTCATTTCATTTCAAACTTGAAAACTAATGTAATCCCCCCTCATTAAAATTGTTAAAATTCATTGTGTTTTTTAAAATTGTCAGTGCTGGCCAAATTTAAATAATTCAAATTGCTTATTTTATATACAATCGATTGAATTTACAGCACACTTTAAGTGCTAATTACTATACAATAAATGAATTTTTGTTATTAGTAAGCTATTTTTACAATATCAAACTTAAAAGATTCTATAATAAAATAGATTAAATATTATACTTCTTCATTGGGGTATGCAAACTGGTCGTGTAGTGTAATGGCTAGCACCCAAGATTCTGATTCTTGTAATCCGAGTTCGAGCCTCGGCATGACCTTTTGATTAGAAGATCTTTTTTAAACTTCTTATTTACTTTTTGTTAAACTTTACTTATTATTCATTAAGAATATATATATGACATTACTCTATTGTATATATATACTAACTTAAACAAAAACTGTTAACACAAATGGTTTTTAGAATAGTATAAGTTTGAAATTATATTGAAATCCCAAATTAAAATTTCAATCCAAAACTAGTTCTCAAAACTTCACTTTTTAATATTCAAAAAAAACAATTTTTAACAAAAGGAAGAAAATGAAGCCACGCGTATTACACAGCAAATATATCAACTTTTTGAAGACAACTCAATTTAAAGCCACTGATTTCACTCCTCAATTTATCAATGAAAAATGGTGTAAACCAAAATACTCATTAAGAGAGCAAGCGGATTTAAGAAAAGCATGTCATTTATTAGGAATGAATCCAAGTGATTTAGGATTACCTGTTAAACAAAACAAAGAAGTCAGAGTTACACCAGAAGGAACAAAATACCAAAAGAATTATTTGGATAGGTAATGATAAATTAATAGGGACCAAATAAGAGAATTAACAACGATAAATTAGAAAATTAAAGACGGATACAGCAGTTGATAATATGGATAAAACCGTCAATAAATGGAAACAGGTAATAATTTTACTTAGACAAAGATATTAGAATTAATTAGAAAAATAGGAAAAAGAAAAAGAATCAGCTGGTAAAATTTCCAACCTACCTTTTTAAACATCATTATAGCCATAATAGAAAATATAGTCTTATTTTTTTGTAGTTTTGTTTTTCACTTATTTACATTTAAAAAAATAGATTTGATATATTCAAACTAAAATTTAAAATAGAGAATATATAATTTTATTATAAGATTAGTAATGATTTAAAGATAAACAACGGAATCCGATACTTTAGTATATTCTTGTAAAGCTAACTCTAATTTCTTTAATTCGACTTCTTTATCTTTAATCTCTTTGTCTTTATTTTGTAACATCTTTTCTTTGCTTGCAATAACATTATCTTTTTCCCTTAGCAAAGCGCTAAATTTATTATTATTGACCAAAAGCTCAGCTTCTTTATTAGATATAATTGAGTTTTTATTTAAAAGCTCTTTGTTTTTAATTACTAGTAACTTTTCTTTTTCATTTAATTCTTCATTTAATTTTAATATTAAACCTTCATTTTGTTTGTATTTCTCTTCTTTTTCTTCTTTCTTTTCATTCATTTTTAATGATAGTTCATTCAGATGTTTCTTTAGTGCTTCAATCACTGTCTCCTTATCATTGAGTTGTTGTTTTTGGCTTTTAATCTCTTTTTCATATTCTTCAAGTTGGGTTTCAACTATAAAATAAATTATTAAAGCATCAAGTTAATTTGAATTATTGAATAAGGCTTACTTTTTTTAGGCAGTATTAATTTAATGTCATCCAAAAATGTGGTAAGCGCTAATTCTAACAAAACAAATAAACAAACATATAAATATTAATATAATAATTACCATAATTATTGTTCAAAAACTGATGATGATCTAAGTCCATATTAAAATCGACAATATTAAATGGGGAATCCAAATTGTAATTGCTAAGTAACTCATTGATAGATAGGTTTGGTCGAATAAATTGAATCATTTGTTTGATATTTTTTATCTTTTCGATTCCGATTTGCTTAATAATTTCATTTTTATACTCCTCTCTTTAAAAAATATTAATATTATATTGATATCTATGATAAATAATAGCTTACGGCTCAATCAATGAATTTCTATTATCATTAAATTGATAAATTAATAATAACACAAGTATAGAAAGAGATTGAATTGTTAAATTAAAATTTAACTGAGCCAACTTAACAAACTAAATAAAAACTAGTAAGTAAAATAATAAATAACGTTATTAATAGCTTACTAAATTTATATTCTCTTTTTGACCTAGAATACACTGAATAGACGAGGTATGATCATAAATAATAACTACTAGAAATAATAAATAATGATAATAAATTGGATCTTCAAACTCATTTTCATCCTTTACACTCCTATTCGCGTTATTTTCCATTTTATTGATAATACCAATTAATTCATTCAAAATAAACTGGATAAAATTAGTCGAGCCTTATATTAATTAATATAGATTACTACTAATTTATACTTTTAAATTACCATAAGTTGCTGTATTCAATTTAGCATCTAACACCAAATCTTTACAAACTGAGTTATTTTTAACAATCTCTATTAATAAAATAATCGAGAACCACGCATTTACATTTTTAATAGTTAATGTGTTTTTTTCTGTTCCGTTTTGTTTATTTTCTTTTTCTCCATCATTGTCTTCATCATCCTCTTCATCATCCTCTTCTTCGTGTTCATTTTGATAAATAATAGTATCCAATAATAAATTTCCAATACTTCTATCATGTTCATTATCTAAAAATATTTAAATATATACTACACTAAAGAAACTAAATTACTTTGACTTCTGTTATTATTATACATTCTTAATTTAAATGCAAAGCTTAATTTTTCATTTATATTATTACTCAAATACGCCTTATAGAAAACTTAGATTAAATATAATATAATAATGCAACAACTGAATATTACCTTAAATATATTAATACATGCTAATTTGCTAGCTTCATCTGCATCTGATTCTAAAGCTAAGTTGAGGATATGGTTGATTAATAGTACTGGAATAGAATCTTCAATTAAGAAATTTGTTTGTTTAAAAACAGCTTGGTTGTATGAATTATTATTAATTATTTCAGCCAAAAGAGATAAGAAATGAGTTAATAAAATCCTTGGCAAAGTAGGGATATCGATAATTAACAAGATTGAATTAAAAATACCACTTTTCAATATTTTTGTTTGCACTGAATTATTATTAGTATTATTATTTTGATTATTAATTAATATATTTATTAAATAAATAAATTTTAAAATATTATTCACTTTTTGTCTATCTTGCCAATAACTAGGATCATACTGTTCGCATAAACTACTTAATATGGTTGATAATCTGGTAATATAATTCGATTCAATAAAAAATAACTGATTGGAAACGTTAGCTTTTAACAATTGAATCAATAAATAAATACAATCGTATACAATGATACCCCCATCAAAACAAAATTCTTGCTCAATGATAGTTATTATTTTTTCATATAAATTCTGAAATACAAATATTTTTTGTAGCTCAAGATTATTTTTGATAATTTGCTCAATCAATATTATAATTTCATTTCGTACCATTTCTTTATCCTCTTCAATTAAATCCATTAAATTGTTTATAAATGGTGGGTTCTTAATCAATATTTGATTCATTGTTTCTTCACTTAAATTGTAAAGTTGCTGCAATACTTTGATTCCGTTGTATTTAATATAAAAATCATTTTTATTAAGTATACTAAATATCTTTTCTATCGCTTTGATTTCCTAAAAACACATGTTGTTATTACATCTTATATAAATTAACTACCTTACTTTTGAAAAAAAGGAGCAATACTCGTTAGTTTTATTTTCCTTATTATCAAATAGATGATAAAATATATCTAAGTAGTCACTTAATAAAACATTATCGTCTTCGAGGATGAATTTAGTAATTAAATTATTTAAACAGCTATCTCCAATTTCCTAAATAAATATTAATAATCTTAAATCCTTGACAAAACTTTATTACTTTTTGGTGATTATTAATTAAATTTTTAATCTGATTTAAAATATTGGCCGTCTCTCCTTTATTTAATTCTTGTTCTAGCTGAGCCTTCAGCTTGGTAATTTGATCCTTTGAGTCCAATTGACTATCTTCAATCTCTGGAGCCACAAAGGTATTGTAAAGAAAATTCATATTCATAATGTAGTTTTATTTTAAAAAATGATCTTTTTAGTTTAGCCATTTTATTTTTATTTTAATTTTGGCCTATGTGTTATTTTTTAATTGACTAAAAAAATCACATAGGAGAATGAATATGTTCCTATTCAAATTCTAAGCAGAGTCTTTCTAAGTGTTAAGCAGTCTATATACTGTTTTAGTCTCTAGAGAAGCGATACAAATTTTGTATATCTTGCGCAAGTATGATTAGCAACAATACTACGGAAGCTCCACCTTTTGATTATGAAGCATTTTAGATAATTGTAAAAATTAAAAAAAAAAACTATAATTCGATTTTATACTTAGTAGCGCTAATACTTCAAAATAGCATATAATAACTAAACATGAAGATGCAAATAGCAATAATGTTTAATAAACGCTTCTTTTTAATTTGTGATAAAGTTGGAAATTAACTCAAGCTATATTATATTAAGCTTTATCTTTTATAGTTGTTAAAAACAGTGCTAGTTTATTAAAAATTTCGTTTTAAAAGGCTGTCAATTATATTTGTTAAAATTCAAATTTTGAATATTAAATAGAGTACAGTTTTACTTCAAAAATAATTTATTCATATTCAATAGCTTTTGAATTACTAAATAAAACGGCCAAGTCCAACCTTATCCATTTCATATCTATTTTTAACAAGTAGTTCTTGTATTTTTATACCGTAATTCAAATACAAATACAAAAGGGATGATAGTATAAAAATATTAATAGAATCTTATTTTATTTGGGTATATATAAAGTGATATTTATATATACTATTTTAATAACTCTCTTAAAGCTAAAAACAATTAATAATTTACTTTTCATTTTTTAAACTAAGTCTACCTTCTTTAACACTATCGTCTAAAACAGTTGGATAGATCACTTTATATTTAACATACAAGTTGCCTTTCTCAGAAGGTAACTCATGAGTTGGCATACCTTCATCTTCAATTAATTGTACATATCCTGGATCGATGAGATTAATATTATTATAACTAAAAATATAATATTTTACCTGATGGTGTAACTTGGTCTCTCTCTAAAAGTACTTCTCTATTATCTAAATGAATAAGCGTACGGCTGAATCCGACAAGAGCCTGTTTAAATAACATTAGATAAAAAATAAACAGAAAATAAAAAATAAGCTACATCTAA